CAGAATGAGGGGTGAGTGTGCCACAGAGAGACAGAGATGCATAGGGACGGTGCATGTACTGTGGCAGGTGGCTACAGGTGACGGATCTGCCAATCCTGAGCACTCCAGGTGCACACTCTTTGAGCAGGAACAGTGGCACGATCTCCCACACTACATCACTGAATGCCCAGTAATCAGACCATTCAGACCAGTTGGCATGAGGTACCTGGAGCTTAGCAATTACTTTATTCACTCTCGTGTTCTTGAAGATATCCTCATATTGCATCCCAATTTGCCAGTGCAGGCTACTGAACATATAAGAACATAAGAACAAAGGTAATTGCAGAAGGCCTATTGGCCCATACGAAGCAGCTCCTATTTATACCCATATGGCCCCTGTATAACTAACCATCCTGCGAGATGGGAACTTTTATTACCACTGCTGCCTTATTCACTCTTGTGTTGATGATATCCTCATAATGCACCCGGAGTCTGCCAGTGCAGACTACTGCTCAAATGCCTCTGTATGACTAACCATCCTGTGTGATGGGGATTTTTAGCATCACGTAGCTAGCTTTTTGACACACTGTACTCCCCTTCATATAGTCTAGGGCAGCTGCACAAATGCACATGTACCTATATGTGTTAATACAACAAGAACAACAAAAGTATTGTGAGTAGGGTGGGTGTGTTGGGCCACACCTCCCCCCCCGCCCCCCCCCCCCCTCACACCAGCGTGATGGTAATGATTGCAGATTAATGCCACTGTTGTCAAGTATTAATGCCGGTATTGTCCCGGTATGTACTCTTGCGCAATGATCTCACATCAGCATTGCAACGTCGTCTCTTCTACTTGTGTACTCTGAGAGTGTACTCACACAGGGAGTGTGGCACCGTGTACTCTGAGAGTGTACTCACACAGGGAGTGTGGCACCGTGTACTCTGAGAGTGTGCTCCCACAGGGAGTGTGGCACCGTGTACTCTGAGAGTGTGCTCCCACAGGGAGTGTGGCACCGTGTACTCTGAGAGTGTACTCCCACAGGGAGTGTGGCACCGTGTACTCTGAGAGTGTGCTCCCACAGGGAGTGTGGCACCGTGTACTCTGAGAGTGTACTCCCACAGGGAGTGTGGCACCGTGTACTCTGAGAGTGTGCTCCCACAGGGAGTGTGGCACCGTGTACTCTGAGAGTGTTCTCCCACAGGGAGTGTGGCACCGTGTACTCTGAGAGTGTACTCCCACAGGGAGTGTGCCACCGTGTACTCTGAGAGTGTACTCCCACAGGGAGTGTGGCGTCAACAGGTGCCTGCCTCCACCCTGGCGTGGCACTGTTCCACCGTCGAACAAGACATTAGTTGACCCCAGTGCCACCAGAGGGAGCCAGGCACTCCACCTCACACTCGTCCCTCAATGAGAAACAATGAGTCCGTCAGGCTCGTCTTGGTGTCCTCATTGACTGCTACTGCCCTCTGACGTCAGCCGCTGCCCTACACACCCGCACCATTTCACAAGTGACAAACTTCGCGACGCCTCCACATTACACTCTGCTCATTCTTCTGTTGTACACGTTAATAATCTTATTCAAACCCATCCTCCAACAATCATAATCATTGTATTTACTAAATTGTTAATCGGATAACTAGTGTGTTAGATGAGCGGTGCCTCAGCCCATTGTGCAACGCTCCCGGCCGCTAATACAACCTTGAAGACCATTACCATGGGAAACCTGAGCCTTCTCACTCACTCCTCCACACCGTATATATATATATATATGACAACAAAATGTCTCTCACTGCCTTTCCACACCCCCATTCATGCTCACATCAACAGCATCAGCTACTGGTGCTGGTAATGGCTTCAAACAGCCTCCACTTACCTCTAATGTGGCTGAATCTTTATCACTCATATCACAGTTCCGCTACACAGCCCCGCTCCTGTGCCAGGTAAGTTCACTACGGGCTCACCATAGCCCGTGCTACTTGCAACTTTTTTTTCCCAGTAGCTAAATCTACAACAATAACAACAACTGTCAGTTTGGTTGACCAGACTTAGAGACACTTGAAGATGTTTCTCGACCAAAGATCACATTCACTTCCAACATCTACCACTTACGGGTTATTCATGCCCGTGCCACCTCTTGTGGTGGCTTAATCGTCATCAATCAACAATCTCATTTTTTTTACATTAGGTTAGGTAACGCCAGGATGGGTTAGGTTACGTTAGGTCGTGTTAGGCTAGGGTTGGGTTGGTGGCTTGGTGCCTTCTTTGATAATTACTTATTTAGGATGGGCTAGATTGGGCTAGGTTAGGTTAGGTTGAGTTAGCTTATGTTAGGTTAGGTTTATGAAGAGAGTAGCGGCGACGTAGAGGGTCCGGTACTTTCGTGAGGCCTTAGACCCTACTGGTGTTAACTACGCAACTGGTGCCCACAACCTTGACTCGGAGCCGCGTCACCAGTTTGGTAAGTGTGTGTAGAGCAACGTAGAGCCGTGTGTGCCTGCTAGTGTGTGTGTGTGTGTGTGTGTGTGTGTCACACACGTGAGCACGTATCTTGGTTAGCATTATCCAAGCACTAGAGTCATCTGAGATGGAGTGCTCATTTCTTATTATTATTATTTTTCTACCACAGACGTGGCCACACATTACCAATGCTAACCAGCATATATACACTTCTGTCCTCCATGGACAGGGTTAGAGATGTGTTAAATATAAAGTTCAGGGATTTATTGAACAATCAACCACAGAAGGTGATTGTAGTGCTTTTAATTAAAATGCTAGGCTAAGCTACATATGTAAATACATAAATACACAGATTTACGTACATCCTACATAAAATGTTCGATGTGTCTTTTACATAGTGTCATTAATGTGCATTTACAAAGGTGAAATGGAATTCTGATCAGCTTCCACATATACTTTATACACATACATACACACACACACATATACGTACATATACATATATACATACATACATTTGTCTCTTTTACTCTGACAGAGTGAGATAGCTGATATAGAAACTAGTGTGCAATTAAGCACTTAACCACTGAAGGTTATTAAGGTGCTTTCACAAGCTCAGGTTATATAGTTACATCACATACATACATTGTATAATTGATACATTACATGGTCAATCTTGGGTACAAGTCCAATATATCATCAAGTGTTCCAGTACTCATATAGTAGTTACAGAGTTCAGCATACCTCAGCCCAGGGGGGCGAAAGTCAGCCAATATGGGACATTCTACAATATAATGTTCAAGAGAGTGCATGTTTTCTCTTTCACAAAGTTGACACATTGTGTACTCGACATTTGGGTTTTGAGAAAGCTGCCAGATACGTCTATATCCCAGGCGTATTCTGGCCACTATAACATCACATTGCCGGGTTCTTGTTCTATTAGTCCCATATGTGAATGTCTCCTCACGATATCTATCCCAATATTTAATGCTATAACTTTCAGGTCTTTGTGAATTTGTTAGGTCGGTGAGATCTTCATTAGATATTTGTTTAAGTATTCACTTTGTCACTGCTAATGAAACACCCATATCAATTTCTACTACTGGTTTTCTATAGGCTGTCTTTGCAAGCATATCAACAGTGTCATGCCTTGAGATGCCAACATGTGATGGTATCCATATGAATTTAATTTCAAACCTCTTTTCTTTAGCAGCTAAAACATTCATTCGAATATCACTGACTATTTTCTGGGTGTCACTACTATGTGCGTTCAATGCCAGGAGTGCACTCTGCGAGTCACAGTATATAAGTCCACTGCCTTTGTCTTTTAAAAATTCAGTGGCAAGGTATATGCCTGCAAGTTCGGTTTGAGTTGTACTTGCCCAGTCATTGACGCGCTTCATTGCTGTATGTACGAGAGAAGATTGTTCAAATATATTACATGCACACCCGGTACATCGTCCACCTTCTTCTACAGAACCGTCGGTATAGCACTGATACACATCGTTACCCATACCCTGAGTACTTTCAGTGATACTTTTCAGTGTTAACTGTTTTAATAATGTAGAGTGTACACTATCTTTCTTGGGCGCATTTACAAAATCAACTGATAGATCCCAGTTATCCCATGGAGTAATTGGTTGATTACTCCATGGGATCTTGTTGTTTTCTCTTGATTACAAGAGAGAACAACCAGAGACCTCCGCGTGTCACAAGCCCTCACATTCACAGGTACAACTGCCCGTGAGTGGTAACACGTGACAGTCAGTGTAACACTCTCATGTGCGGTGCTCAGTGTGTTAAGAGTACAATACACTACATTCTGCTGGTCCCATGGGTCTCTTTAAATTCTTTCATGGGCCCCTTGGACCCCGAGGGGGGGGTGTAAGGACCCCCCCCCCGGGCTGGAAACCACTGCAATAAAGGCTAAAGGATTCTAAAAGACAGCCGTCGGTGTTAGTAAACAAGAACCTACAGCTCGGTTGCTAAAGTCCCACAATGGGAACTCAGGGTCAGATAAAACATCTAAAAGAAGCTTAAAATCAACAAGATAAATCAAAGAAGAGGAAGAAGGAGAGAAAAAACTGAGAGTATACCATTCATTCGTGGATGGGGGGCAGGGAGGAAGGGAGGGAGGGAGGGAGGGCAGTGGAATGGTTCTGCGAAGGAAGAGAAAGTGGACGTAGAGGGCACATCACTGCAGATTAATGCGGGGGAAGCGGAAGGTGGGAATCATTATCGGGGGGTGAGAGGACGATGAAACAACATGAAGGCGGGACGCCCACTACACCGGGGTGTCCAGCACGGGTTGTTGAGACACGCCGGCAACAAAAACAAAAAGATTAAAAGCTGGAGTTGCTGAATATTGACAAAAAAGTCACGTATCCTCCACTGAAGTCCCTCAACTGAAGAAGAAACGTCGCCAGAAAAAAAAGACCCATAGAAAGATACGGAAAGGAAGAGCATGCTCAGGAAACTTTAGGTGGCTGAGGTCAGTGAAATCTGGGTTAGGGGCAAAGTAATGAGAGGCAAATGGGAGCTCCATGGTGGGCTCTGGGAGACCATGGCGGGCTCTGGGAGACCATGGCGAGCTCTGGGAGACCATGGCGGGCTCTGGGAGACCATGGCGGGCTCTGGGAGACCATGGCGGGCTTTGGAAGACCATGGCGGGCTTAGGAAGACCATGGCGGGCTCTGAGAGACCATGGCGGGCTCTGGGAGACCATGGCGGGCTCTGGGAGACCATGGCGGGCTCTGGGAGACCATGGCGGGCTCTGGGAGACCATGGCGGGCTCTGGGAGACCATGGCGGGCTCTGGGAGACCATGGCGGGCTCTGGGAGACCATGGCGGGCTCTGGGAGACCATGGCGGGCTCTGGGAGACCATGGCGAGCTCTGGGAGACCATGGCGGGCTCTGGGAGACCATGGCGGGCTCTGGGAGACCATGGCGGGCTCTGGAAGACCATGGCGGGCTTAGGAAGACCATGGCGGGCTCTGGGAGACCATGGCGGGCTCTGGGAGACCATGGCGGGCTCTGGGAGACCATGGCGAGCTCTGGGAGACCATGGCGGGCTCTGGGAGACCATGGCGGGCTCTGGGAGACCATGGCGGGCTCTGGGAGACCATGGCGAGCTCTGGGAGACCATGGCGGGCTCTGGGAGACCATGGCGGGCTCTGGGAGACCATGGCGGGCTTTGGAAGACCATGGCGGGCTTAGGAAGACCATGGCGGGCTCTGGGAGACCATGGCGGGCTCTGGGAGACCATGGCGGGCTCTGGGAGACCATGGCGGGCTCTGGGAGACCATGGCGGGCTCTGGGAGACCATGGCGGGCTCTGGGAGACCATGGCGGGCTCTGGGAGACCATGGCGGGCTCTGGGAGACCATGGCGGGCTTTGGAAGACCATGGCGGGCTTAGGAAGACCATGGCGGGCTCTGGGAGACCATGGCGGGCTCTGGGAGACCATGGCGGGCTCTGGGAGACCATGGCGGGCTCTGGGAGACCATGGCGGGCTCTGGGAGACCATGGCGGGCTCTGGGAGACCATGGCGGGCTTTGGAAGACCATGGCGGGCTTAGGAAGACCATGGCGGGCTCTGGGAGACCATGGCGGGCTCTGGGAGACCATGGCGGGCTCTGGGAGACCATGGCGGGCTCTGGGAGACCATGGCGGGCTCTGGGAGACCATGGCGGGCTCTCGAAGACCATGGCGGGCTCTGGGAGACCATGGCGGGCTCTGGGAGACCATGGCGGGCTCTGGGAGACCATGGCGGGCGCTGGGAGACCATGGCGGGCTCTCGAAGACCATGGCGGGCTCTGGGAGACCATGGCGGGCTCTGGGAGACCATGGCGGGCTCTGGGAGACCATGGCGGGCTCTGGGAGACCATGGCGGGCTCTGGGAGACCATGGCGGGCTCTGGGAGACCATGGCGGGCTCTGGGAGACCATGGCGGGCTCTGGGAGACCATGGCGGGCTCTGGGAGACCATGGCGGGCTCTGGGAGACCATGGCGGGCTCTGGGAGACCATGGCGGGCTCTGGGAGACCATGGCGGGCTCTGGGAGACCATGGCGGGCTCTGGGTGAGGACAGCCTCAAACTTAGAAATGCGAGCGTCGTCAATCTCCAGAACAAGGACATCGTGAGAACGGTGTTAAATATTGAGGCAGTAAGGTCCTCAGGGTTTTACAGACGGCTTCAGAGTTCTTTAAGAGGCTTCAGGGTTCTGTAGAGGGATTCAGGGGTGTGTAGGGGGCTTCAGGTTTTCCTCATGATCAACAGCGAATCAGACGGACTGGACTGCCACTCAGACGACCTGGGCAGCCACTCAGACGACCTGGGCAGCCAATCAGATGACCTGGGCAGCCAATCAGATGACCTGGGCAGCCAATCAGATGACCTGGGCAGCCACTCAGACGACCTGGGCAGCCAATCAGATGACCTGGGCAGCCAATCAGATGACCTGGGCAGCCACTCAGACGACCTGGGCAGCCAATCAGATGACCTGGGCAGCCAATCAGATGACCTGGGCAGCCAATCAGATGACCTGGCCAGCCAATCAGATGACCTGGCCAGCCAATCAGATGACCTGGCCAGCCAATCAGACGACCTGGGCAGCCAATCAGATGACCTGGGCAGCCAATCAGATGACCTGGGCAGCCAATCAGATGACCTGGCCAGCCAATCAGACGACCTGGGCAGCCAATCAGATGACCTGGGCAGCCAATCAGATGACCTGGGCAGCCAATCAGATGACCTGGGCAGCCAATCAGATGACCTGGGCAGCCAATCAGATGACCTGGGCAGCCAATCAGATGACCTGGGCAGCCAATCAGACGACCTGGGCAGCCAATCAGATGACCTGGGCAGCCAATCAGACGACCTGGGCAGCCAATCAGATGACCTGGGCAGCCAATCAGACGACCTGGGCAGCCAATCAGACAAACCAAGAACAATAATCACAAGAGTCTAAGACGGTAACCTCTTTCACTTTTACTTGTTTTTCACCAGTGGATCCTGTTGACTTTTGGCCAGAAGGCCGCGGGGGGGGGGGGGCGGGGCGCCCTTCACAGCCCAGCCCCCCACCACACCCCCCCGTCACGGTCCCCACCCCGACACCTCCCTCCAAGGCCCACATCCCAACACCTCCCTCCAAGGCCCATATCCCAACACCTCCCTCCAAGGCCCACATCCCAACACCTTCCTCCAAGGCCCATACTCCGACACCTCCCTCCAAGGCCCACATCCCAACACCTCCCTCCAAGGCCCCCATCCCGACACCTCCCTCCAAGGCCCACATCCCAACACCTCCCTCCAAGGCCCACATCCCGACACATCTCCCATTAGGGTTAGGTTAGAACAGTGAGGTTTGCGCGTTTCGGGAGCCCTTAATATTGTCCGCTGGAGCAGAAGAGGCCGGGCTGCTGCAGGAGGCTTCCAGCCTTATGGGCTCCGTCCTCCCCCGAGCCCCTTTGAGCATCAGTAGTCATCAATGTAACCCCCGCAATGTTATGCACAATGACATTCAGTTCTGTATATATTTGTAAATAGCATCAATAAATTGGTAAGTATACTACATACAAATTTAATAAAGTGTTTACATCAGCAGTAGTGGGAAAGACAGTCATGGAACAAGTCCACACTCTCCACCTGTGGTTAACCAGTAATAATTCACAACTATATTTGATGTCACACTGGAAAAGATTTTAGACCTTTACTGCCTTATTGTGCAATCAACTGTACTCATCTTGTAATAACCGCTTCCCTCTGTAATAACCGCGGCCTCTATTGTAATAACCCGATGTTCCCCAGTATTAATCCTGTTATCTTGTGATCTCTCATAATCGTAATATACGCTCTCTGTTGTAATTCTCCGTCTCTCTTCACTCAATACCCCAGCTTAACGCTGTTACAGTCCAGCATGACCCCTCACTGGACTGCCACGTATATAAGAGGAATATTAAATGAGGAAGATACACCAAGGACAAGGGTTATTAGTTAAAAAAAAAAACAATAACAAAACACATTTACACTGCCACCACCTTCCTGACCAACCATACCTGAATGTGTCAATCACCGATCCCCCAGTAAGGCAAGGAATCAGTAAAACCATGGGACTCCGGGTAATATGAATTTCAGTAATAAATTTTGGAAAATTAGTTTGTGTAATTTACGTTACTTATTTGAATCCAAGGGCAACTTTAGTATCTATTAATAGTAGGAGAACATGGGGGTTTCCAATACAACACCTAAAAAATGACAAAGTAGCAAAATATATCAAAGGGGAGTTAAGTGAATACCACTGGACAAGCTATACAATTTATTTTATGAAACATGTAAATTAAGACAATTTGAACACATCACCTATTCTATTTCCCTAGAGGCACAATGGATATTTACCGAGGACACAAAACTCAAGTGCTACTCTACCTTAAATACCCGCACTACGGCCACGATGTTGATGGCTGCCCTCAGCCCCGAGGATACGGGCTTGCGGCCCTGTTCCTAATACACTCCCAAGACACACTAATGAAATTTAGTTTTTTCAACCTATTGCTGGGAAGGATTACTCCTCCCACCATCTACTACAGCCCCAGGGCTCCACCCATTATTTTGGCCCTGGCCAACCATTTAACACGTAGGCCTGAGGTCTGGCTCTCTAGGGCCAATAAGGACTTGGCCCTTATCTCAGGCCAATCACCTTCACTGAACTGTCGTGGAAAGCTACATGAATTCCTGAAGATTGAGTCAGCTCTCCCCAGCTAGAGAAGGGGGACAAGGCGCGTCTATGGAGCCCAGACACCTGCGAGCGATGTTTACAAAACTGATAATTTATGTTCAAGCCTGTCTCCTCTAAGATAGGAGTAGGGACATTTGACTCTGCCTGGTATGGGGAAGGCCGCTGCTGAGAGGGAAAGAGAGGGAATGAGAGGGAACATCTGAGCGAGGGAATTGAGTGGGAGAAGCCAAGGTATCCACGACCACCCTACCCTCAGGTCAACCTCTTGACCCTGACAAATGGGCGACAGGGGGGGGGAGGGAGAGGAGGAGACGAATGACGGCCAAGGGGAGGGGAGAAGGAAGGAGGGGAGAGGGAGAAGGAAAGGAGGGGAGAAGGGGAGGGAAAAGAGGGGAGAAGGGAGAACCAATGATCTGAGCCCCAGATCATTACAATCTATTTGTGCTTGCGGGGGTTGAGCTCTGGCTCTTTGGTCCCGCCTCTCAACTGGCTGTGTAGCTGTTTCATTGAATCTGGTATACTGGAAGACCTCTTAACAATTTATTCTAAATTTGCTTCTTCATTTTAAAGAATGAAGAACGAGAATTTTATTTATTTATTTGTTTATCTATTCTGTTCATGTCTCATGAGTCCATCCTTACCTTGTGTCGTAGTGAGGAATAGAAAGTTGTATTTACAAATTCGTAAATCGAAACATGTATAATAAAAAACATGTGCGCTTCATTCACTCTACAATTCAGACCTACTGTGTTGTATGTAGTCCTCTGCCCTGTAATTACCTAAGTGTAGTTACAGGATGAGAGCTACGCTCGTGGTGTCCCGTCTTCCCAGCACTCTTTGTCATATAACGCTTTGAAACTACTGACGGTCTTGGCCTCCACCACCTTCTCACCTAACTTGTTCCAACCACTCTGCGAAAATGAATTTTCTTATATTTCTTCGGCATCTGTGTTTAGCTAACTCCCGTGTTGTCTAGTGGCTAGGATACGCGGCTCTCACCCGCGAGGCCCGGGTTCGATTCCCGGCACGGGAAACTATTTGTAGGGAGCCGGTGGCTGAGCGGACAGAACATTGGACCCGTGATCCTGTGGTCCCGGGTTCGATCCCGGGCGCCGGCGAGAAACGATGGGCAGAGTTTCTTTCACCCTGATGCCCCTGTTACCTAGCAGTAAATAGGTACCTGGGAGTTAGTCAGCTGTCACGGGCTGCTTCCTGGGGGTGGATCCCTGGTCGAGGACCGGGCCGCGGGGACACTAAAGCCCCGAAATCACCTCAAGATAACATCAAGATAGTTAGTTTATATCTATGACCTCTTGTTCTTAAAGTTCCAGGTCTCAGGAAATCTTCCCTATCGATTTTATCAATTCCTGTTACTATTTTGTATGTAGTGATCATATCACCTCTTTTTCTTCTGTCTTCTAGTTTTGGCATATTTAATGCCTCTAACCTCTCCTCGTAGCTCTTGCCCTTCAGTTCTGGGAGCCACTTAGTAGCGTGTCTTTGCACCTTTTCCAGTTTGTTGATGTGCTTCTGAAGATATGGGCACCACACAACTGCTGCATATTCTAGCTTTGGCCTAACAAAAGTCGTGAACAATTTCTTTAGTATATCGCCATCCATGTATTTAAAAGCTGCTCATATTCACTCCCACATCCTGTGTGGGAGTGAATATGAGCAGCACCACGCTATAATAATACCTAACTGAAGTGCCCAATGTACAAATCCATAAAGGCAGTGACGAGTCGAATCCTCGTCACTGCCCTTGTGGATTTGTTCATTGATACCTGGTTGATACCTGGTTGATGGGGTTCTGGGAGTTCTACTCCCCAAGCCCGGCCCGTGGCCAGGCTCGACTTGTGAGAGTTTGGTCCACCAGTCCATCACCAAATCACAATAGCGTGATGCATCACGCTATTGTGATTTCTGTGTGTAATGAAATTCCCAAATTAAGCAAAATTGTAAATTAATTTTGTTAATAAAGATGCTAATAATAATCATTCATTCCAGGGTTAATATACCGGGTTTGACATGTTTAAAAATGTAATTAACCGTCTTAAGATAATATGCAGCAAAACTTAAGGAAGTGTCTAAGTGTTTTGTCGTAACTTGCATTAAAATACTTGTGATAAAGGCCTCAGACTGAACCAATGAAATAGCTGCAGGTCTCCCGCCTGTGTCGGCCAGCACGGCCGCTGTCCCGCCTGCGGTTGCCAGACACCACCTTCAACAGACATGTGACTAGGGCTACGGGTACCCCCCGGGCGTATCTCCCATACGCATACCCATGACGCACCCCCCAATTGGTACGTGTACCCCTGGCACACCCCCATGGATACGTGTACCCCTGGCGTACCACTCATGGGTACACCTATACCTACTCTGTGTATAAATCCACAAGGGCCGTGATGACGGTTCGAACCTACGTCCAGGATGATCCCAGATGCGCCTCAGTCGACTGCGCCACGACATGGTATAAGAATTGCAACCGGGATTGCTACTGCTTTCACACGGATCCTGCAGCCTCTCCGAGACACAAACTGATTTGTGTAAATTGTGTAAAACCCCGGTATTAAATCTCCGAGACACAAACCGGGGTTTTACACAATTCACACAAATCAGTTTATCTCGGAGAGGCTGCAGGACCCGTGTGAGAGCAGCAGTAGCAATCCCGGTTGGGTATAAATTGGATAAGTTTTGTGGGTATAAATTGGATAAGTTTAGAATTAGGAAAGACTTGGGTAAATACTGGTTCAGTAACAGGGATGTTGATTTGTGGAACCAATTGCCGCGTAACGTGGTGGAGGTGGGGTCCCTCGATTGTTTCAAGAGTGGGTTGGAGAAGTATATGAGTGGGATTGGGTGGTTATAGATAGGAGCTGCCTCGTATGGGCCAATAGGCCTTCTGCAGTTACCTTTGTTCTTATGTTCTTATGTTCTTAATTCTTATACCATGTTGTGGCGCAGTCGACTGCGGCGCGTCTGGGATAATCCTGAACTTAGGTTCGAACCCTCATCACGGCCCTTGTGGATTTATTCATTTGATATATCACGCTATTGTGATTTATGTGTGTATACCTTGTGTAGTTTCCGGGAATCAACGGCCTGGCGGCCCGGTCTCAGGCCGGGCCTCCTGGTTGGTCGTCTGGTCAACCAGGTTGCAGTGTTGCCAGATAGGGAGACTTTTGACAGCTCTGCGCTCCTAATTTTTTAATTTCACTACTTGCCACTTTTTG